AGGTAATACATTCCACGTGGTCTGTGAGGCCAGCTAGTTTGCAATCGGCTATGAGCTAATACAATCCGATGAAGACAATTCGAAGCATGAGTTCTGTTACTAGTTACGTCGGCTGCAACTAGTTGAACGCAACTGCATCATCCGTGACAAGGAAATCCTTGCCATAAAGTACACTTGCTAAGTTTGGAGTATATCTGCCAGGTGATAGACTCTTCATCGTTCATACGAACCAGGCGTCGTTGCGCACAACCGTATACAGTACAAATTTTTTGCAGCGGATAGCAAGGTGGCTGTAATTCTTTGCGGAGTATGGATTCTCCGTCGAGCATAAAGCAGAACAATTTACGTCGATGATGACGTAAGCTCGCGCCGGCCGGAATTCTAGCCGGTTGCGCGACCCGACACTTTTCCGACCACTGTCGCGGTACTGACCTTGAGTGTCCAGTTTTCAACGTAATTAAGAGGCATTCGAAAGGTGTATAATCCATGATTGGGGAGATTGATGCAATGTATCTTGCACCCATCCGGAATTAGCCTAAAAAGTTGACATCAGTCTATTGATACCCTACAGATAGATATACAGTTCACAACGGCTTACCCCAAAATTCGGCTGTTGCCGTTAAAACACCTCTTGCCGTCGTACCAGACCAGATGATCGTCAACAGCGCATCTTTTATGAGTTCACGACGCACTCGTAGGTTGACTTCGTAAGTGCTATAAAATGAATATCTCACGGTAAGCCGTAACTTTTACTAGCCCCGCGAGTATCAATAGGTGTGCAAGTACGTTAAGGTCTACAAGGTGTGTCAACAGTAAAATCATGTCTTTTCCTTGTAGTCCCGTTGCAGCCTCTCTTAGTCCCGGTCAAGTGTTGGATATCTGTCATAATGAACTTCGTTTTTAAATTTCCCGCATACCTTTAACAGAATATGTGTGTTCGTTGACAGTTTCAGCAAGATGTACATCTGTTTGCTGTATCCGAAACTACAAGAAACTCTGCTATCCGATGTCTTTATCGACACGGTCTTTCGCCTTCATGGGTTGCCTAGTGAACTCGTTTCCAATATGGGTCCTGCGGATCACAGCTAAGCTCTGAAGTTCCGTATTTATTACACCCAGAATGCACTTAACATTTCCACGCCTGAGATCCTAAAATAGACGGCCAGAACAAGCGCTTCGATAGATTCATCGATACGAACATTCAAGGATACATTTATTCCATTACGTTGGAGCGACTTCAATTCGATGGATGAGTTCGTCATCAACTATTTACTCAATGCGTCGATGACGCACGCGCAGTTCTTCGTAAATTGCTTGCACTATCCTCGTTATCCCAGCTTTTCAAAAAATTTAAATCTCGCTTAAGGAAGTAGGGACTCATTCGAGCGACCGTCAATTAGGCTCTCACTTGTCACTTGCTGACAATGGGGTCATCATGCTCGACGCCGATGGCGATCGCATCGACGTTGGTGAAGAGTTAGAAAGTTAGGTAAAGATGCTCTTACTGGCCACGATGATGATCAAACTAGCATCACGCCTAGTTAGTTCAAAGGCACACTCACAGAGAAGACAAATGATCTTTGCAACGGGGCACTGGTCACCAGTACTGCTTCAGTACTAATGCACATATACTGAAAACAATGTAGGTAGTTTCGCGCATCACCTCACTCACACTGTACGTTCATAGGAAGTCAAGCTAATGAACGACGCGTTCAATAGGAGTAGAAAGTAAAACTGCACCAAATTAATTAAGATTTGAATACATGTTCCTGTGTTCAGTCCTAACTCAATTGCATTTTACTACAAAAGTGTATGCTGAAGTCTTTCTCACCACTCACTGCGCGCACCCATCGTTGGTTGGACCGCTAAATGATGGTACATATCAGCCAATCGGCTAGTGCTTATGATTAATACCTATTATGGTAATATTCACGAACATTATCAACTTTAAGATAGTATTCTATTCGACAAGTATCAAAGTTAATTATTTGTCGCAGGCTTACCCCGTTGCAACTTTTATACAGTACGCTTCAAAAAGCGCTGCAGCTAAAGACAGCGAAGTAGCAGATAATTTAACATTTGCTCGCAAAACGGTTGTCCGTTTCGTACAATACTCTATCGCAGAGGCGGTTGATCGACAAAAACAAACGCTGACAAGAATGTAAAAGCAAACGCTCTTCAATTTATTGAAGAAACCTTATACCTACCGTCTACGGCGAATTTACATCGACACACAGTTTACACGAGGAAAATGACAAGTTACTACCCAAGTTCTTCGGTCCAGTGTGGGTGCTGCGTCGCCTAGGAAACGCAACTACAATCGATAAGTCACGCAACATGCGCGCGCATCCTACTTTCTACGTCGGTCTTCTTTACCATACTACCTGCACGAGACTTCTTTCGTAGACGAAGCCCTTGCACTCAACCATCTATAACATCTTTTTGGGCTTATGATGCTAGCTTTTAGCCCGCTTTTAGAGCTTAGATATCTCCTCGCGAAGCATAGTGGTATCCTGACAACCCCCTTACCTCGTCACGGACAAAATGCTTTGTCCTTTCATGCGCCAACTGGCAAAGGCATTCTCTGCCCTGCCCTCATCCTAATCTGATCTCAGACGGCTCATGTTAACTCGGAAATTTATGTGCCTGCCTCTCTCGTGTTCGAAGTCTCGCGTATCCCACATGTGACGCAATCAAGCTAACTCACGGCGTCAGATTACCTCCCAAATCCATCGGAGGATGTGTTCTTTTTTCCAGATCATCCATTGGTTGATACTCGCGGTCGTCAACCATTCCTCGTGGAACGACTGTTGAACCACCAATTTGAAGAGGCATCGAACGAGTAACCTCGTCCAATGGCTCGGCTATCCGCCCTCGGCGGACAGTAGAGATCCTCTCCCGGAGCTGATGGTGGACGTGTTGGTCCTTGTTGAGAAGTCTGACAAGGCACTTTAAATGCCTGAGAAATTCCGTATGACCACAAATTCCCAGCGGGTGTTAAAGCGATTGAACATTTTTATTAACTCGTAAACCTCCAAAGAGATGTAAGACCTCCACCAGGGATTGACCGTTAATTTAAGCTTCTTTTGGAGATCGTGTCAAGCTATTCACACAACACTGGCACGCATCTCCGGGTATGGCATGGTTACCCAACTTCTCTCGATAACCGATGCAGTTTGTAACGTGCACCGGCAGAAGTTTACTTCTCAAATTTATTACGCAAAAAGTCAGATTGTCAAAGCTAGGCAGCGCGCCCTATCTCCTTAACGTTGTGGATAAATGTATTCTATTCATGAATCAGGAGGCATCATTACCTAGTATAATTCCCTCTCTATCATCTATGTTTAAAGGACAAATCGACGCTGAACTCGTGTTCAGTGTGAAAGTCACTCGCACTAGCGTCAAGTCCATCAAGCCTTGATAGCTCAAAAAAATCACATTCGATAAGAATCGATTACCGTGCTGTATAAACAATCCAAGATTCTCTGATGAGGCGACCACGACTTTTCCTCTCAATCATGATGAAGTTCGTCGCAAACTCTCTTCTTGCGTGGTGTCAGTAGAACTGCCAACACCCATCCAGCACGGTCTTCTTTAATTGTGAGGCACTAATGCATCACCGTCATCATAGCTTGACTAGCTCTTTCCACCGCCTTAATTGCGCTCATAGTAATTACTACACCTTGAGAACGGAGCGGTCGACTCGTCGGACGATCCGAAAATGCCACGACGCTCAGCGAAGTTCATGGCGCTTCGCGAGACGGACTTGATGCGCTCTGACTTCGTTACTTTCGGCTCTGTCTTCTTAGCAGTCTTGATCAACTCGTTGTCGCCATCCAACTCGCTAAAGTTAGGAGCTTGAGGTCATCATCTTCGAGGCCATGCGGTGCATCATCGCTCGAGCCTAAAGCAGCGACTACTGTAGGATGAGAAGAGGAAGCAGCAGGCAGGTTATCGCCTGCTGCACTCAATGCCTTCTCCTCATCCACCGCAGAGTATCAGAAACTCATTATTGCGGTCCCAGCAGCTTTATATGCATACCGCGTGGAATTAAAAAAAATGCAGGAGAACGAAGAAATGGTTATTATTGACCAACAAGTGCTTTCCTTTCCCAGCATCACTCATCATAGTCACTCATTCGTCAATCAGTCGGTTAAGGGGAGGATTAATGTGATGTGATGTTTCCGTTACAATAGTAGTTTATACGACGTAAATGTAAAGCATGAATACTCCGTTTTAAGAACTATAGCATCCTCAAAATAATGGCTAAATTAGCAATGCTGTGTTGCAGTAGTAATGCAATGCTCTTTGGTTGATATTCACTAGCGATGTCAACTAATAAAGCCGACCCACGACAGAATTACGCACTGAATGGTGAGCAGATAGTTACGTTACGTGCTTGTTATCAGATGTAGTACAATGAAGACTAAATGGGATTTAATGACAGGAGGTTAGCTATGCTAAAAACACTTTTACTTTTACCCTTTGTCTCGTGTTGAAACCTATCTTTGCAAGACGCGTGTCGGTGAAGTCTCGAGGCGCCGCCTTATTCTGTGTTTAGTGTAAGGATCTCGTACTGTAACAGTACAAGCCACCGTTGCCTCACTACATGAAGCGACTTATGAGTGCGCGCAAGGTTTAATGCCAAGCTGCTCGATCGTACTTTTCTGTCTGCGTGTGTTTGAATATAACGCGATCGGGTGAAGCTTACATGCGTTTAGTGCGATTAAGCCTTTCCCTCCCTATCAGGTATATGGGCATGTTAAAGTTACTCATCGGCGAGGTCACTAATGTGACGCACGCACGTATTTAGATTTCATTAGAGAGAGGTTCAGAGTGTCGATTTACTTAGTGGGTCTAAGTACAAGTCATCTGGAAAGACCTGAGCCAGGATATGAGCGCCGGTGTACCCGGTGGCTGATCGTGACCGATCCCTTGAAATAACGGGGACCCCCTAGGTTGCCGAATAAGCAGTTCAATGCACGCATTGAGAGTCGCCCCTAGAATGGATGTGGCTGCTGCTCGATGTTCTCGTTTCGCAACTGCCCGTAACTGTCGTACACACGCTTCCCACTGTTGCTCTGTGCTGCTGTGGCCGTGTTGATCCGCTCCGCGGAACAATACTGCATTCCTGTCCGTCCATTATCGGGTGTGGCAAACCGTTGTGAGGATGTTCCAAATACGCTACCATTCGAGATCGGCTCCAGGGGCATCATCGTCAAATCGGTCGACTAAAATAGCTTTCCGGTATCGAGGTATCGCGGTAGCCCGCCGATTTGCGCAAGCTGCCATAAAGTGCCTCCTTCTCTGACGTGTCGCCATTTCCCCTGTCAAATGGCTTACGACTTTGTCACAAAGGGCTTGCGCACAATAGCAGTCCCAAAAAATGTGCCGCAGCGTCTCTGGACTTGCCACACATCGAGCCGTCCTCTGGCAACAATTATTGCGCTCTCGTCCATGATAGAAAAGGTTTAGTTGGTCGGTTGCGAGTCTATAGCTCGTCCAAACCTGATATGGTGTTAAACCATTCCATGGTCTTAGATGTTATGTGGGTTTGCTGTAATGCTGCTCGCTGCCACTCGTCCTTTGTAGTTTTGCACTCCAGTCGGACCACGAGTCGCTGCAGTGGCTTCGCTAGTGCTCGTTTGGTGAAGGTGAAGGCCTGGAGACCTAAAGCTTTCGATAAACGGTGCATCGCCGTGCCTGCCGGAGCACTTCACAGAAATCTATGCAACTGTGGATAAGCCGCGAACACTAGTCCAGTAGTGCCGATCCTCGTGCTGATTTGCGGTGCCTGCTGCTGTAATTATGCTGTTTTTAATATCGGGATGCGACCTTCATCAAAACCAGTGTAGTTCATCTTCACCCTGTTTTAATGTCACAATACGTGTAGCTGCTGCAGCTTGTGACCGACCCTCGATGCAGCCATTTCCCCGAAGGATCCAGCAGAATGAATCGGCAAATAGTGACTCGTAAAGCAGCTGTATAGACGGAGCAGCTGTCATGTCCCCTCCAATGCTAATATCCGATGAGGATAATAATCTAGACGTTGCCCCCCCCCGTTGAAGTGTCTTTGCCGGATGTCGCCCGGGTTGGTTTGCTCGGTCAGGAAGTCGGAAAACAAATTCCCTCTGTCCAGTACGACGTACGTGCAAGTTGGCCAGAGAGCTTAAGGCTATTCTGCTATAATTGCGGTGCTTCAGCGTGTCTTCAAGCTCGTCTAGGACCCATAATTTATCGTTCAAATCGAAAGTGGCCCAGAAACTTGCGATCTCCGCAGGCCAAGTATTGGAGTCCTCTCCCCGGGGCGGGTACGCCTTATAATACGAGAGGACCCAGTCATCATCCCCCACCAATTACTGACCCCCTGAAGCATCGCGTTACAATGCTCGGAGATCCGGATCGGACACCTTCCAAGTAAATAGCAGAAGGAGCCAACCAATCCCCAAACTCTTGTGAGGCGTGTATCCTGGTAACCGGTCCGTCTGACGGCGTGCACGCCCCGAATCTGGCGTCTTGGAAGTCACACTGGTCGCTTGTAAAGTCGGTAGGTCCCGATATACCCACGTGCGCCATGCTCCAAAATGCCGATCCTCTTTTTGCGTTAGCCACACCACTGCATGCTTTAGTCTTTGTGTCTTGATAGCTACCGTTATGGAAACGAGTCGAACTCCACCTGCCTTCTTGGCGTCACTTGAATACCCGGATTGACTTTGTGCCGACACCGCTCTGTCAATGTAGCGTGCGCCCAGAGAAATTGCTTGTAAAGGTTGTATAGCTCGACTTCGGCCCATCTTGGAAGATCAAATGCAATCGCCGCGAACGATAATGACTAGCTTTTTGTAACAACAAGGTAAATGAGCACATCAGCAAACGTTGGACGCTTACAAGATAAGACCGATCGTGTTGTCCAAGTTTAATGTACTGGGTTGATATATACATTAAGGGGATTCGTAAAATGCCCGGTCGTTTTTGTCTAATGCCCGCATTCAAACGATGACTGAGTATGTTTCGTTTCTGGATGTATGCATCCATCTTTCTTCTTAGGTCATACAATGATACTGCACCTTTTTCGCTCCCTGTATTCTATCACCGTCCTTCTACCTTAAGTGCACCCTGTTTATCACCTAAGTTACAGAGTCGACACGACTGAGCCATCGCTTATATGCCACCAGGGTTCCTCCACCAAATGGCATCGCAACAAGTGATGACTTACCTTCGAGTAAGATGCCACAAGAGAATTTTCCAATAGTATTATGTGAAAGTGTGGCAGCTGCCAAAAGTTTGGCTTTTGCCTACGCGCGGCGGAACATATTTGCCTTGCGTATCAAAAAGCAGGACGATCATCGATTTGTATGGAATGCGTACAGGGGAGGAGGCATCAATCATAGCCTTAGACCATCACCAACAGGCAGAAAAGAGCTTCTTTAAGAGTTGAATACTGATTCAAGATTACAATTCGGTCGGGGAGATTTCTTTCTGGTTATGATCTCCGTGCAACCAGCATCGTGGACATCCGCAAGCAAGCGAAGAAGAACAGGCTGTTCTGACTGCTTCAAGACGTAACAGCCGTAATCCAAGTGTGATTGACAATATAAGGAGAATTTACAACTGTGGTTCAAAGCAGCATTTATACACTACTACATATGCAAAATTAGGTTCTATTGCCTGGGGATATTGCTCAATTGTAGCAGGTGCCATTGTCTGCGTGATACCTGCGTTTATAATAGCGACCAGGGCTAGTTACACGAGGGCTTTAGATTTTTTCAAATTGTTCGGGATGCATCACATTGGCACCCTCAAGAGCGAGACCCACTCTTCCCACGCTTACGTGGCGTGTTCCGTTTGTGCGCGATACAGATGTGGCCGCTGTCTGTGACTACCAAGAATGTCCCGACTACCAAAGCTGATTAAGAGCTTAGTGTGATCTCATTATTACAGCTGCCGCGACGAGAGGTGGCCTATCCTACTAGCATTACCCGATACGGCTACCTTCTGCGAGCTAAATTAGGCGATTACATTTGCTGCGGAATGTCAAGCCGCGATGACCGTAGTAGTGATAGATTATAGGAACCGAAATAGGTGCAGTTTCAATGTCTGACCTGTGGAGAAAGAGGGATGCATACATCCAGAAAAGAGACATACCAAGTAATCGTCTGAATGCGAGCATTATACAAAAACGACCGGGTATTTTACGAATCCCCTTCATTTAAGGCATCATTCTCCTTCTTCAGCAACAGCTAGTTTTATAGTGTTTAAAACTTGATTCAGTCTCCCGAACTCAATTACTCATATTAAAGGGCGAGCTCCAGAGCTTGCTCCCATATCTTACTGTTTAGCGATAAGATCGTAGTCGGTGACCTGTAACTTGCTTTTAGTGCTGCAAGGCCCAGAGTGCGACTCGTCTACCGCCAAGAGCCACGTGCCGAAAAAAAACGTTCAGCAGAAGACTGAATACAAAAATAGTGACCCTAAATTAGTGTTTGATGACCTTCTGAGTAGATACTTAACCTACAAGAAGCATTAAGCTGTACTTACCAAGCAGAAATGATGATCCTGACATGGTTCAGCTTGAACGTAAAGTTATATTCAAGCGCCCACTTATTCAGGTATCCCGATAATTTTGTAAATGGATCGAGAATACACCTGAACAGCTTCTAGTATATCCTTAACATAATTGCAAGAGAATTTAACGTCACAATTGTTCCAGGCTTCATCGAGTTGGAGGTGACCAATCCTATGTGAACCTGACTAGTCGCACAATCTGCTCTCCATCCATCACTTACAAGTGCATCGATACGGAGACCTCCAGTGAGGCAATGAACACTCTTTAACCAGCAATAAAGCTGAGCCTTTCACAGGTGTACTGCCAGATGGTAACCCCTTCAACCTGTTTCTGCTGCAGAGGTACCTCATTCAGTTCGTCATCGCCATTAATCGTACTGAGCTTTCTGACCATCATTACGTCCGTCATGTTACAGTTATCCCCTCTTTCAAGCCGAAGACCATACCGATATTTAGCCCAAACTCTGAGTCTTGCTCGTTAGATTGATTGGCTAGCTGGTCTTTATAGCGGCTGGTGTTGTCGTTTGTTCAATTGCTTCGTTGTCGTGGGGAAAGTGTATACCTCTTCAGCATTATCATAGTCCTCGTCCACCTTTTATACCACTCGGCCTCCAAACCGACTGCATTCATCTTCATGTCTGTCTTTCGGTCCTAGAGCACTTTGTTAGCGCCTACACCGTACTTACCTCGACTTATTCCTGCAAAATAACAGCATGTCGAACTTAGGAGGTAGGTGCATGGATAACCTGCTTACTACATTTCTGAACAACAGGGGAGGAAGAACCTTTTGCGCCGCTCGGTGGTATCATGTCTTAGTCTGCGATGCAAAAGCTTGTTGCGCAGTGTCACCTTCTGCAACTACTGGCATAACTCTGACAAACGGTTTGCCGAGGCGAAGAATTAGAGCAGGCGAACAGGGAGAGGGCAAGTCAGCTGATGAGCTTTAGAAACCGTACTGCACTTCAGTCACTCGAGAGCTCATTGCAAAACCAGTTATCTCAAAAACCATTGTAAAAAAGCTTATCCTGTCTTCACCTTCGTGCATGCAAAAGCAGGTCAAGTAGACACAATGCGTCTACGCTACGTGACTAAACCCTTGCGTCACTTCACTTCATTTTCTTCATCTCTCTGGCCACTTCCTTCCGAAAAGTCTGGCTAAAATCCTTGACTTTAGGCACGTAGTTCTCCATCGAGTTCTTGAGCACGTCAGCGCCGGTTGACGCCATTGTCTTGGCGTCCTCCAAGTGGTAATGCGTCTTGAGAGCAAATCGCTGGAATGCGCGCGAGTTCGACAGCGCCTTCACGGCCACGTCGTTGATCACGTACGACACGAGACGCTGGAAGAACGACATAGGCTGTGGCACTTTGCGAACCACGTGCGTTATTAACCGCAAGTTTACGAATGACTTCACGTTTGTATCGACGGACGTTGTGGACCACAGACGGGCGCTATGATATCGCATACACTGCGAGATCACATACTTTTCTTCATGATACGAATAGAGAGGAGTCCCAGTGGACGCTTCGAATCGCGTACCTCAGCTCCAGTTTCTGCCAATCACACGACATGCAAGAATCACCCGCTCGATCACGCAACCTCCGTCCTCTTCCCACCCCCCGTCCGTTAGCCACACACACCCACACGCAAAAAGAGACTGGTCAAGGCATAGTGAAAGTCAGTGAAAGTGCGTCGTGAACCCAGCACCCACCATGATGCTAACGAAGTTGACCTCCCGCTCCGTGGCCCCGCGCTGCACGCAGATCATCCAAAGTACGTGAATGCATCTGCCACTCGTATACACGTATCATCCATCCACACCCGTCCCTTCATTCCCACCACGAGCAGCGCTCACTCGACTCGGTGTATACGATGTATACACACACCTCCTCGCTCATTTCTATAAATAGCCACGTACTTAAGATCATTGCTTTTTGTCCAATCAGATCGTGCTCTCATGAGCACCAAGGCCGTCGTGGACACGTATGAGTCGCCTGACCGGTACTTTGAGACGGACCGCATCGATGCCGGCGATCCTTCGAAGCGCGCGTTCACGTACTTTATGCTGGGCGGGGCCCGTGTGGCTTACGCGACGGCGGCTCGTCTGGCCGTGGTCAAGTTTGTCGGCAGCATGAGCGCGTCCGCGGACGTGTTGGCTCTTTCCACCGCTGAGTTTGACTTGAGCAACATCAGCGAAGGCTCGACCGTGACGGTCAAGTGGCGGGGCAAGCCCATCTTTATAAAGCACCGGACGGCCAAGGAAATCGATATCTCCGAGCAGGTGGACGTGAGCCATTTGAGGGACCCCGAGACGGACGCCGTGCGCGTGCAGAAACCCGAGTGGCTCGTGGTGCTCGGCGTCTGCACGCACTTGGGCTGCGTGCCCACGTCGAACGCAGGCGAGTACGGTGGCTGGTTCTGTCCTTGTCACGGCTCGCACTACGATCTCTCGGGACGGATTCGTAAAGGGCCGGCTCCGTTGAACTTGGAGATCCCGCCGTACAAGTTCATTGAGGACAATAAGGTCCTGTTGGGGTAAACTGGAGTGGAGGTGCATTGGTTGTATACGTGTGCCAAGAGGAGGAGGGGGAGGAGCGGGGAGGGTGGGGTGGGAGGTGGTGATGCGAGGAAGAGAGACGTGGAAGGTTTGGCTCGTTGCAACGGCAGCTGGGGAATGGACGGAACAACTTGAGGAGATGCACGTAGTAGAGTGCAACGTTGGAAGAAAGAGAGTAAAGACTTGGAAGCTAACACTGGTTGGTAACTTGGCTAACATGCTGCCGTGCATGTTTTTCATGACTCTGGAGAATTGGTGCGGTTGCGCTGAACGTTTTTGTCTCTGTTTTCTTCTTCCATACTATGACAGTATAGTAGGCTTCTTAGATTGGAAGCGCGCGGTCGCTGAGTTCCACACAAGGACTTGTGTGGGATGCCAAAGGAATAGCAAAAAGTGGTCGAGTCTCTGGCCTGCTACTCCCAATCAGCTGAACTCTTGCATACCAAGGCTACATGGTGGATTCAGTGCGAGTCGAAGCCGGTCTGCGAGAAGTCCGTTGCGAACGCAAATTCCTGCTTGCGCGAGTACTTTCACACTAACACATGGAGGCAGCGTCACGACTGCGCCATTCGTCAAACGTCGTTTCGTCCGTGCTCTTAGGCATCTTGATCAACGGCAACGATGTTTTTGTCTCCATGTCTAGTGAACATGGCTTCATTGCCATCTTATGACCTGCAATCGTGCAGACTTTCTTCATGTGACAGGTAAAGCACACTGGATGCAGCGGTTCATTAAGAGGACCACTGCACTGACCGTCATTAACCTGAAGCATATTGCAGGAGGTAGCATTCAGGGAGCTTCAAAGTGCAATTGTGCGAGTACTGTTGCACAACACTGCCCTTTCCTCCCGCCACTTACATGTATTGAAGACACCCACTTGCGGACAACTCGCCATGTACCGCCATCGCTAAGACTAGCTGTACATGGGCTTACAGGTTGCACGGTATTTGCATAAGCTGCAATGATGATCGCTTCTCCTCTTTTGCCTTCATTGACTAATAGTGTAAGTAGTAGGTGACGTAGCTACAAAAAGCGAACCCACCCGTACCTTGATTAAATGGCACCCACCGCTCTTGACGAACAGGAGTTCGCTCGTGTTTATTCAACTAAGTGAAACGTCGATCCAGATCGCTTCATCCTCCTTGGGCGATACCTTCACAGCACGTGCGTTAACATTTTTATTCCGAAACATGAGTACATACTATCATTCTGGGATACTGGTAGGCTTCTTCGTCCGAGAGTGATGACGTTATTGAATGTGGACTAAACAACTTGCTGCAAGTGCAGGATCAGCTGATCAAGATCGATGTTGTTTGATTGCGTGCCCGTAACATAATGTGTATTGCTGAGACTAAAAGGCGTTGTTTTACTTCGCCATTATCGAGTAGAACAAAACACTTCTTGTGCGTAAATTCAACTCTCGAGACCTTCATAAATGTGCAGAGCATTGACTCGTGTAAGTGATGTACCGCAGAAGCAGACCAGAGTAGAACACGAACAAATTAGCATGTCACTCGCTGAGAAAATAATGTTGACTTAGGTTGCCACTTCCGAAGCACGATCAACCTAGCAGCCAGGAAATGCAAGAGCTCCGGAATTTATCTCGTGTACCCGTGCGAGACACCAATGTATACGTCAGTATTCTTAGAGGTTGTGTGGTCCATTGCGTGAGACACATGGTTTTGTAGATTTGCTCACATGTGCAGATTTCGTGGGGTCTACGACCGGCGCAGATGACAATGCAATTTACTGCGCGTTTGTCGGCATTTTTCCTGTTGGCTCTTCCAATAGCCTCGAGTTTGCTAAGTGCTGCAAGCGTATCTGGCAAAGCCTTCTTATGCCACAATCACGTAATGCATCTTCGAAACACCTGTTCTCTTTGTCATTGCTCAAGAGCCTTTCAATCGACACTGGTATTAATTATGTTGTTGTCACCGAATTCAGTCATCACTTTAGGAGTTTCTCAAACGATGTGTTACAATATGCACATTCACATGCAACGGAAGACGTGGCTGGATAAAATCGTGCTGGGTAGGTAGAACATGTTGCACTCCACGTAAGGTATCGCTACATTCGATCATTAGTAGATAATGTTGGAACTTAATTTGACGACGTTGCAATTGCGCTGTAATTATATACTCGACTTCACCGACGCCTTTATGGCTACACGAATGCAACACTGCAGTGATCCTTGATGAGTATAATCTGTAGTTGCATGAAATCTTGCTTCACCGTATCTGCTCTTGCACTTCCGGGTCATGATTGCAGCAATCAGGCGGAAGCTTTTTACGCATAGAGCAGATCTTTCATATCCATGTTGATTGCGTTTTACATTCTGATTAACAGCACCACAACATAAGGCAAGACGCTGCAGAGAACTACAAAGTTCGACATGTGACAACAAAGTCAAAAAGGCTTACATAATTCAAAAGCCTCTGCATCGCTCTTCACGTCCGCACGTCTCATTCAAACGTTCAGCAGTTGACACTCAACTTCCAGTGATGATTTACATTACAGATAGTTGCCGTTAGTCTTTCTTCGATTGAGCGGCAACTGACTTGATCAAATCCAGCATCATCGCCTGCTGTTGCTGAATAGTACTTAACAACTGTGCGTGCTGGTTCTGCTGAGCCTCCAATTGGGCACATTGCAGTCTCTCGAGTCGTCGCGCTTGCTCGTCTGCATGTCTCCTCTGCTCGGCAAGTCCGCGTTCCATCTTGATCTCTAGCAGCTCGAGGCGGCGTTGGCAGTCCCAGTCCGCTCCTCCTGTTGCCTCTGCAACGATGGTAGCGACAGCAGCTTCACCTATCTTTACAACAGCAGCATCGTGCTGCGTCCCAGCTGACAGTGGAGACAGTGCATCTCTTCGCTGACGAACATCTTCCTGGAAACCGTCAAAAGCGGATTGCTTTGCCTGGACCTGGACCAGCAGCTCACGCTTCTGTTCATACTCTTCCAACGTACCAGACTTTCGCAACGCAGCAACATTTCCAGCACGCAAATGATCGAGCAACAACGCTACACGTGCTTGGCAGGCTCCAGCTGTCTTTTCCAAGTTGAAGTTGCTGTGTTTCCTTAACTCGGAACACACTGCTTGCCAGCCATCCATCAAGTGCGGATATGCCCACGGTTTCGTAACTTTCACCTGAGTCAGCAGCAAAATGTCATCGGCCGAGACAAACTGTTTTCTACTTGCTGTTCTACCGGTAGTTATACCGGTAGAATCACTTGGTGGTATCACCGCCATCTTTCCGTTAGGTTCGGCATCACGATCGTTGCAGTTGCCGTTAGCATCAACACACCCATCCTCCTCTCGTCCTCGCTTCGTACCTACACAATTGCTCTCTAACTCCATGGTCTCTGTTATTTGCTCTCCAACCTTATTTTCAGCCCTTTGCGAGCGGTGAAGTCCGTGACGTTTCTTAAATCGTTGCACCCATCCTAACGACACCGAGTGCCTTAAGCCTCGAGTGCGGTTTAGAATCTCATTGGCCTTTGTCCATAACAACCCTTCACTAAGAAGAGAAAGTCCATCTTGCAATGCCTTGTCTCCGTTCTCATTGAGTTGTGTAGCTGTTATGTACGCATACAACTCAGCCTCCATCTCGGGATACCGACCGCTCTGGATACGCTTCGCAGTGGGGTTCGCACTTACTTCTTCGGGCATACTGGCAATTTTGCCGATAGTAGAGCGCCCAATCCACTTGCCAAACCTGTCGTGCACCCATTCTCGGAGCTGCTCTTGCGTCAAATCTGAACGCTCGCGGTGGTACGCGCGCAGTTGGTTCTTCTCCTGGATGGTCAAGTGATGACGAGCTCGGGTCATCGCTCTTGCGCTCTTGGAGAGGGAAAAGTGCTCTGAATGAGCTGTGGAGAAAAAACCACTTGGAAGTTGTATGCTTGAGATTCTTGTGCTCGCCAGCTGCCCAGGACAGAAAAGATTCGCCAACTGTCGGCATGGGGCGTCGCACAATGTGTGATGCTTTTGCAGCCAGAAAAAATCGGAAATAATGGGTACATTCCGTCACAAGATGCTCTTGCAGCCGAAATCAGAAATAATGGGTACATTCCGTCACAAGTTGCTCTTGCACCCTCGCTTCCCCGTCTCTTGCAGCTTCGACGCCATTATTTCATCTTAAGCACCGCTTCGCTGCGTTTATGTCGGGGTAGCTCTGTTTGTACCTACTTTTATTGCTAAATTAACCTAATTTTATTCCTAAATACACCCGGATGATTCATCGCCTATTTTATTTAACCATCATAAATTATGCTGACGAATGCTGGAAAACCATCCACTACATAACAGGAGAACGGCCACAACCAGTAAGAGAACACCTGTTTCATTTCAGACCCCGTTAAATTAAGGGAAACGTTCGCCATCCCCCCAGGTTTTCGTTAACCACCCGCCACCTCTTATATTTAACATTAATTGAAGGAGATGTTAATACACGCTCTTACAATTACCAAAAAAAAGGCCTTTCACAACAAGTAACAACTGCTGTTAAATGCACGTCCACACAATTACCAAATGGACGCCATTTTAAATTATTATAAATAGTTGTTAAATGCACGCCTTTCCATATTTTATTTTGACTTGTCAGCGCTTTTGTATCAGGTGAGATTCTTGAAGTCAATCACATGGCAAGCAGAATCGTTGATACAAGCAAATAAAAGTTGTACTTTTTCGTCTCATGCAGGAAGATACTGGTGAGGAGGAAAGGTGATCCATACAAGATTTACCGACTGACAAAGAAAAATAGAGAAACTAAAAGAAGTTAAAACAAAAGAAAATTTAGAGCCTCAATGCGGTCATAGCCGTACATTTTAGTTCCACGACGAGCACTTGTTTTTTGTTTTGACGTCGCGCGGTCGCATAATCTTTCATACCGAGAGTGGGTAAATATTTGGGCTCGCCATACGTAACTATTAATTGCGAGCCATCCTTTTTGACTGGAATATACAGATGGAATTTACAGTCGCATTTTCGTGGCCTCTTTACACTTACACTTTTTTCTAACACCCAGTGTGGTGAAATGCCACAATCGCGTTCAATTCATACTCTATCAGATCTTGCGACTGTAATGGTGTACCCTTGAGTTCGGTAAAAGTATTCATAAAGGCACGACGATTCTCGTAGGTGTCTTAGGTCAGTTCTCGTGGGGTAAACATGCACTTTATAAAATTAAGATTACTTGGGATCTTCTATGCGGTAAATTCAAACTTTAACTCTTCTGGCAATAAGTCTGAGCTGATGGTCGGTCAAGCTTACCAGAAAAGGCTGTCATTTGTATTCGAAATTCCATTTAAAGTAGCCTGCTATCGCTTTGGTTACGTTAGCAAAATAGCGTACATTTGACAAGGCATCTATATAATAATTTTAAGGCGTGCATTTGAATATTTAAGGCGTGCATTTAATTGTTCCTTAGCTGTATACATTCCACGTTTTGAACGGTCATAATGTACCCTTATATTGCGAAATTCCGGCAGCCAAATTCCAATACAATACTCACATATAATCGCATTACATGTCGTTTTGTTCGCTTAGCCTATGACGTAGCCTATTGCTGCTCGATAAAGCCACAAGAGATTTGGATCCTGAGACTGAGGCACCAATTGTGTCTGCTCTGCAGCGCCTCTCGGGCAAGATGTACATGACGATTATTTTGGTTATTTGTCGCTTGTCCACGTCTTGTTAATGAAGACTAAAATCTGATATTTTATGCTGGACATGTTGTAGAAGAGTGCCGCTACGATAATTTGTTACAGCAGGGTGGCCTATTTTTATTAGCTGGTCCACAATGTTAATAGTACATGAGAAGACAAAGCCGCTATCCCCATGGACGAGAAAGCGCTAACATTGTCGCACTTTACGAGGACTATGAGCTCACGCGTGGCACATGATGTAACGGGGCAATGATAGCTAGTACCCTTCAGTACTAGTGTAACTACACTGACAACGGTGTAGGTAGTGCCGCGCGTCACTTCACTTACACTGTACGTGCAAAAGAAGGCTAGCTTTTGAACGAAGCGTCCAATAGGAGTAGAAAGTAAAACCGTATTATGTACACTTTATTCCTAATCATTAACCTGTGTTTTAGTCCTAACTTAATTGTATTTCTCTACAAATGTGTATGCTAATGCCTTGCTCACCACTAATTGCGCGCGTCCATCGTTGATTGGACAACTAGAGCTGGCTGAAATGATGACCCATATCAATCATTCGGTGAAAGTTTCTGAGAATTACCTCTTAATGGTAATGTTTACGAACATTATCAATCTTTATGATAATGTTTTAATGAACAAATATTACAGTTAATTAAACGTAACAAGCATACCCCGTTGAACATAAATTTAGCGACAATATCCATCAAGACGTCACGACTCCACGGTACCACCATCAAAACTTAAAATATAGAGAAGTAGCAAGGCAATATAGATAGGGCAGTAGACGCCGCTCAGGAAACGACAGCGTGGAGGATAGTCAGTGATATTCCAGCCATGAGAACCGGGGAACAGCAGCGTTAGCAGCCATCTAGAGACTGTAAAGGAGAAACGTTTGCTTGTTCTATCACCGTACAAGATCCGTACACTGAAAGTTATGTTGTGCTTCGAGACTTAGAGTATACGTGCAGAGTAGGGTTTTAACACGATATAAAGGGTAAAAGTAGAAGTGTAATTAGCAAAGATAATCTCCTGTCATTAAATCTCATTTAGTCTTCATTTAACTACATTTAATAACAAACATGTATTGCAACAATCTGCTCACCATTCATTGCATTCTTCTGTCGTGAATCGGCTTTTTAGTTTAAATCGCTAATGAACCAATGAGCAGTGTATCAATTTCAAAGAACAAAATTGCTCATTTAGCTTATGTTTGAGTACGCTTTGTTTGTCTAAAGAAATAATCAAACTTAACATTCGCATCGTGTAAACCTACTATGTGACTGAAAACCCCCGTCCCATCACCCCCCCCTAAATTGCCATTCAAATTAGCGACTGATTGATCAATAAGTGACTCTTATAAGTGGCTCTGGAAAGGTAAGCACTTGTTGGTCAACATCTACCATTTCTTCGTTTTCCCTCATGTTTAACAAGTCCGTGCGGTGTGCAGTTAAAGCTGCTGGGACCGCGGCTACGAATTTATGATACTTTGCGGTGGATGAGGCGAAGGCCATGATACAGCAGGCGATAACCTGCCTGCCTCTTCCTCTTCTCATCATACAGCAGTTGCTGCTGTAGGCTCACGCGTTAATGTACCGCATAACCATCAAGACCACGACCTCAAGTTGATAACTCTGGAAAGTCGAATGGTGACACAGTGTCGACGAAGGCTTCCACAATGCCAGAAGTAGCGACGACAGAGCGTAGCAAGTCGGTCTCGCGAAGATCCATGCGTCTCGCTAAGCGTTGTCACATCTTCAGATCTTCTGATGCGTTGGACGCTTCTTCTTCAAGGCGGCTTCGTTAGCTTGACTGCAATCAAGGCGGTGTCGTGAGCCAGTCAAACTATGATGATGGTGACATAGTAATGATCCACTATCAATACGACCGTGCTGGTTGGGTGTCGATACTTCTGTTGACGCCACGCGGAAAACTAGAGATCGAGGGTTTCTAGGTATTGTTCCAGCGAAGAAGGCGTTGCTGCCTCCTCAGATGTTCTGGATGGCTTGTTCGACACGGAAAGCGATCTTTATATGTATCAAGGATTTTTGATTCATCAAGGCTTCATGTAATAGACTCGAATGCGAGTGACTTTCACACTAAGCATGATTTCGTTATTGATGTGTTCTTCAACGATCGGCGGTACAGCTGGAACCATTACCGTGATGGTGCCTAGCTGATCCAGGTGTCGAACGCCTTCATACATAATGTTGATGAGATCGGACGTGATGCCTGGCTTGGCAAGCTGACCTGTCTCGCAATCCACTTGAAAGCGGACTTCTACAAGTGCACGTTACAAACTACATCGCTTATCTGGAGAGGTCGGATAGCCATGCCTATCCTGTGGTGATGCGTGCCCATGATGTGCGAACAACTTGACTCAAGCTTTAAAAGAAGCTTACTAAATAGTCGATCCCTGGTAGAGGGCTCGCGTCTTTTCGGAGGTCAACAAAAGAATAGATTATACTCAATTTTTCTACAAACGTGCTGGGATTTCGTTCTACGACAAGCCTTCATCGGCATCAGATGTGCCCTTGTCATACTACTCGACAAGGTCCAACACGTCCACCATCATCTTCAAGCGAGGTTCTCTACTGTCCACCGAAGGCGAATGACCGAGCCACCAGAAGACGTAACTCGTCCGTCGTCTCTTCACATCGCGGTGGTTCGACAGTCGTTCCACGAGTCAGGGTGACCACCGCGAGTATGAACCAACGGATGAAAAGGAGGAGGGAACGCGTCCTCCGATAAATTCGCGGGGCCAATATGATGCGGTGAGTCAGCCCGATGTAGAAAGTGTGGGCTGCGCAAGAATGTTGACCCGAGAGAGGCAGGCGCCTGGATTCGATTGGCAAGATGAACTTTCTGAGCTCAATTTTGGATAGAGGACAAGGCAGAGATTGTTTTTTTCAGCTGGCAAATGAGCGAAAAAAATTTCCCGACTTGACGAGCTAAGGGATGTTGTCAGGGTATTTCACGGCTTTGCGGGGAGAAATCGAAGCTACAGACGCGAAATGAGACCCAGCATCCTGACCCCAATGATATGTTAGAGATGCTTGAGCTCAAGAGCTTTCTTATCTGGGAGAATCCGTCGTTCTGGTAGTATGGCCTAAGGCGACCAACGTAGAACGTAGTATGCTTGCGCATATTACGTGGCAGTTCGAT